AAGGTTATAAATAAAGGTTATAAATAAAGGTTGTAAACAAAAATTATGAAGGTTATAAATAAAGGTTATAAAACAAAACCATGGGACTTCTGGGCTTTTCTCACAAACATCTTCAGTTTCAGAACAAAAGTCCAGTTTTTGATTTTTAATCTTTCTTTGCATTCATGGCTTATTGTTCATCTTTCCATTCTTTGTTCTTTATTTTTTTTCATTTCTGAGCATCACTTAACAGAATTATTGTTCTTAATAATTAAAAACAGAATGATTACAGATTGATGCTGGGAACAGATGGATCTGACCGTCAGTTTAGAGTCCGGCCGGTCCCACTTCTGCCCCTCTGGAGCCGGTGGTTCTGAGGAGCGCAGAGGTTTGGGCTTCTTAGCGAGGAGAGATGAGGAGAAATAGAGGAGAACCAGGGTGACGAGGAGAGCCGGGAGGAGGAAGGTCGGGTCCAGGTCCATGCTGGTCCACTTCAGTTCTGTGTGTGCGTGTCAGAGACACTAATCTGACCTCAACAGCTGACACGCACTAATACCCCTCACACAGTTTCAAAATAAAATGCCCACATGACCAATTTCCAAAATAAAATGCAACAGATGCAGGTCTGTGGCCCAAACAGAGCAACACATTTTATATTTTAATGATCAAACACAAACAAGTTTAGTTTAAAAAGTGTAAATGCCTGTGTTTAAAGCGCTAAATGAACAAACGCTTTAATTAGTACTAAAATAAGTTTCTGCCAAACATGAACAATAAATATTTATATTTATTTATTTAAACAAAGTATTAAGTTTTTTTGTCTTTTGAACACGTTAAGAAGAAACGAACACACCGGATCAATCAGCCATACAAACATAGATACAGGTACTGACATGTTTTCAACAAATGACAGGAAAGGCTGCCAGCTGTCCCAGAATCGTCCTGCAGAACCCTTCAGGGTGGATCAGATTTTTTTCTAGATGAATATGATACATCACTTCTCTTATCCAATGTACATATACTGGGGGGTGGGGGTGGGGGGATGTCCTTCCAACTACACAAAACAAGTCTCCTGGCCAGAAG